ACACTTCAAGGAAGTGGGCTTGCCTTCTGCAGGCTTCTTCATGGTCTGCAGGCCATGCCCCTGCATCCAGAGCAAGAGGGAAGCCTTTCAAAATTGCAGCAGCTTGCTTCACATTGCCTTCTTCAGGCTTACAAGGCAGAGAGCCAGACATGCTGGTGGTTGGGTGAAACAAACAAAACTCAAAAATACACCTAGAAGTCTGAGCCAAAATGGTTGAAGCACTCCATACCAATTGGTGGGTAGAGCCCTGGAAGCTCCAAAACAAAGCTTCCAATGCAAACCCTGGAAGCTTCAAAACAAAGCTTCCCAGAAGTGCTTCTTGGATGGGTTATGTTGAAAAATCCAAGAAGTGCTTCTTGAAGCCAGAAGCTCTGAAACAGCACTGGCAGCTCAGTTTGGGAAGCTCTGTTTTGGAGCTGCCAGCTCTGAAACAGAGCTGCCAGCTTTGTTTTGAGACTTCCAGGATGAGCTTCTAGACCCTCAGAAGCCTGAAACAAAGCTGCCAGCTCTGTTTCAGCTCTTCTCGGATCTTAAGGGCATGCTGCTCACGATTTCGGACCTTTCGAGGTAGGTGCCATCTCGGTGCCGTCTGGGCTTGGGGACACCCTTTTCGCACGTCTCGCCGGGTATGCAAGCGGAAGCCATACCCGCAGAGATCAACGCAACACACGACGTCCAGTTGCTCGGCGCGGCGACAACCAAGAGCACAGCTAAGTTCCCACTTCTGCCCACCACTGACCTCCGTACTCACGGCGTAGAACAGACACCCGCCCTCGCCCGGCACGAGCAGGAAGTAGGCCCGTATTTCGCTTTGCCGCACCGCCTTGCCCTTCGCGGCGTGCGGCTCTCGCCTGCGTCGCCCTCGTGTTGAATCCCCTCGGGCGTGGCCCATGCATGCCGCTTGATAGCCCACTGGGGTCACTGAGGCGCCGTGACATCCGCAGACCAACAACCAAATCCAGCCACACACTTGCAGCGCTGCGCGCAACCGTCTCCGGGCCTTCTGTCGGCGATGTCCTTTGCAGCGCCGACCACCGGCGGAGCGACTCTTTCGGATCCAGCCTTGCTTGCACGAACTTGCTCGGAGTGCGCGCCGAGCTTGCAGGCCGAAGACACAGCCGCAGAGGTTGATGCAAAATAATACTTGCCGTTGTTGCTAGGGGGCTCAGGGGCCCTTTTGGAAATGGTACAGCCATCATTGTCACTCATTGTTACACGCAAATCTCAGGTAACTTGATCCCATTATTAAATTACTTCTTTAAAACCTTTAACAGTAAAATCCTTAACCGTTATTAAAATTGTAAATCAAAACTGTAGAAAATGTCACCACACAAAGGCAAAGTTAGAATTAATTGGTGCTGGCTAGAAATGTAAGACTTCAGTTTCAAATGTAAGACTGGTGTTGTCAATAAAAGCAATTGAACATTAAAGCATGATTAGTGGTATATTATAATATTCAATTTCCCAAACTGATCTATCAATGAAAATTTCAACGATACATACGTACAACAAACTGACAACTGACATTGTTCCGATGATACATGAATCCGCATAAGGCCGCCGTTGTGGAATAAGAGCAGCACGCGAGCAGCCGTTTTACCTGCCTGCCAGCTCTCATTTAGTGGCTCATTGGCTCAGTCGGGTCATCAGCAAGCTGTTCCAGCGACATGGTCTTGAGGTCCAACTTTGCGCGATCTCGAGCTGTGTGAGCACCATTCAGCAACCTGCGCATGAACTCCAAGGTTTCTTCGAGCTCATTCTTGGAGATGCCAACATCCAGGAGCAATGTTGGATTGTCTTCAAATTTGTCATCAATCTCGTCCAAAGTGCACACAGCCTGCATCGTCAGGGTTGCAACCTGCACCAAGTCATCAAGGTCCTGCATTTTGCGCATAAAGGCGACAGTAGGCTGCGCCCGGGCTGCAGGAGTCTGCTCAGTCATGCTTCCCTGTGGTGGATGGGCGACGACGAGTTTGAGCCTATAAGCCGGCGCTTTACAGTATCGAGCGCGGCAAGGGTGAGAGTTGGTGTGGTGCAGTGCAAGGGTGAGCAAGCACACTGTCTAACATTTTCAGACCTCGCCGGTCGGAGAGAGAGTTGGTTAGTTCAGGATGCCGCAGAGCTTGTCTGCGCTTGCTATTGCCATGGCTGCAAAAAGGCCGCCAATCAAAGAATCAGCAGCAGGCTGGCGTTCAAAACGGCTGTGTCCCACACATGCCAACGCCAGGGCTCAAGTCACTAAGTAGACCCCTCACCACATTTCCGAGGAAGCATCTTCCTCCTCTTCCTGGTCGTCCTCTTTCTTGCCTTTGCCGTTGCGGGGCTTCTTCTTTTCAACTTTCTCCGGCTCTTCCTCCTCCGGCTCTTGGTCCTGTCCATTGTGCTTGTGTTTGCGACCCCTTTTCTTTTCACTTGCCTTGGGCTTGGGTTCAGACACCTCGCTGCCCTTCTTTTTCTTGGTCTTTGGCTCCTGGGGGCCCTCCTCGCCGGCAGTCGTGTCCTTCTCCAGAGTCTCGGGGCGAAAGAATGTGGAGCCTTCGCGCGAGAGCTCTCCCAAGATGTGGTCCGTGAGAAGAAGCTCCAAGCGAGACGCGTGGCTGTCTGTACCGCACACAGCGATCACTTTTGTGCGAGTTGCTAAGCAAGCTTTGCAAAACTCACCTTGCGCCGGAGACAGATCAACAACAGATGTAGCGCAGTAGCTTGCGACCAGCTCTTGGTAAAACTCACTGGGAGACATGGTTGAGCTGAAGACGGTCTCTTCGTTGCCTGCGATGTCCTTGGGGTCGACATCTGGAAGAGTCACGGTGCGCTTGTCGCCCAAGAGCTCGATCTTGTCCTTCCTGCGCAAGAAGGAAATAGTGAGAGAGTAGAAACGAAAGTCTAAGAGGGCGTCGAAAAAAAAATTTAGAATCACGCACCAACCTGCTCATTCTCCAAAGGCTCGTAGCCGGCATCGCAGTCACAAAACCAATGGCGTCTCCACTCGACCATCCACTGTAGATTTGACGCGGTTTCTCGGGGAGGATGATGCTGAGGGCCTTGTCTGAGTAGAGAATGAATTCCATTCTCTGGGTGTAGGAGTGGGCCTTGACTCTCTTCTTTCTGTTACGAATGCTTTCCTGGCAGAATGTGGTCGACAATGACGAAATGACAGTCTGACTCTAAACTACAGCGGGTTTCAAACTTTCCAAAATTAGTTCCCACCTCGTTGAAGCACAACCACATCGTTTGTGAGCTGCTGTCTTTCAGGAAGCCTTTGGGCAAAATGTTCAACGGGTCGAAAACTGCCGCCAGGACTGCTTCTCCAGGGCAAGTGCACTTCCCACTCTTGTCCTGCTGCGCGCCCAAGCCAATCAAAGTTGATCCAAGCAGCTTCTGGACGAGAGTTTCGTCTGGCCTCCACACTTTGCGCAGGCCATCTTGGCACCCCGGACCTGTGCTTTCACCCAGCAGGCGGGTGTCCAGGTGGCACAGGATGCAGCTTTTGCCGGCTTCTCCTCGTGGTAAGTTCTCCTTCTCCACCGCGGCAGTCATGCCGGCAGCACTGTTTGCTTCCGTCACAAATGCGCAGTACATGCGGACAGTCTGGTTCGCAATGGCCTTCCAGTATTGCGGCGATCCTTTGGGAAGAGCGTTGGGCGTCTTTCGCGCCAACTTCAGCAGGCCGTCGGCAGTCTCTGCTTCAGCAGCGGTTCCCTCCCCGTCTTCGTCGACGAGCTCCATAGCTTGCAACGCGACCTTCTCATCTGCCATTCTCTCGCAGGTTCACGACTCTCGTCCAAGCCTCTTGGATCGTCTCCATCTCATTGAGGATTTCAGGGTGGGAGTTTGGCTTCGCGCCCTGCCTGAGGATGTTGTCGTATTGCTTCAGGCAGACGACGTCCTGGATGAAGGTCAGGGCTTCCAGGGAGGACTTGGTCAAGGAGCCTTGCCAACCGATATTGTCCACAGTGTTGGATCTGGTTTCGACTGGGTCACGCAAATGCTCCTTCAGAAGGACTCGGTCGGCATCCTTCAGCTTCGCTTGGACACTCATGATGTCCAAGATGTACGATAGGCAGCGCCACTTGAACTCGTAGAGGTGGATTGTGCCCGGGTTGTTGGCGGATCCGATCATATCTTTCTTGCTCAAGTCATCATCTCGGATGACGCCGTGGCAGAGCAAATCGGCGATCAGCTGGAAGATGAACCGGCGGGAAGCCAAACAACTGGGACGCTGGGCTAGCTTTTCCAACTTCACCAAGCTGTTGAAGCAACTGTCGGAGCCCTTCAAATTCTCCTGCTTGTTCACAATCTCGGTGATGACTTGGTCCGATTGCAGCTTTGTCACAATGGTCTTGGCGGCAGTGAAGTTCCATTCGCAATAGTTGGAAGCATCAACGGCCGAGTGACCAGTGCCTTTCTGCGCGGTCATCAAATGCTTATTCTTCAGGAGCTGCACCACTTCCTGGTCAGACAGCTTGCGCCCCTCCAGCTTTTCCATCAGCGCCTGGCAAGCGACCAAGTGACACAAAAAGTCATCGGTTTCAAATCGCGCCTGAAGGTGGTAGAGCTCAGCCGCATTCTGCCAAGCGGTGCGAGTCAAAGACTCGTGCTCTTGCTGAACGAGCTGCCTTTTGTTCAAGGCATGCACCCACACATCGGCTTCTGAGCAGCCGGTCATTACCACCGGAACTGCGGTCCTCACAAGGATGTCTGGAAAGTAAATAACAATAAGGAAGGAAAGGAAACAGTGGATTCAAAAACCTTCAAATTAATAGTAATAATGCCTAGCATCAAGGCTTCTTTCCAAGCCGCTTTGCAGGCTGCTGTGGTACCAGGCTTGCTCAGGTCGGCAGCAGCTTTCAAGAAGATCGCGTGACAAATTTCCAACGGGGTGATGACCACGAGTCCAGAGGGCTTGTCGGTGAGGCCTGAAGAGTCCACTTGTACTTCCAACAGTTTGTGGAAGAAATTGTTCTGCCGACCTTCAGGAAAGTAGAAATCGGCAAGTTGAGAAACTCGGACACGGTTGAGAGGTACTCCTGGTGCTGGGTTCTTCCAGCAGTCCAGCCAGAAGAGGTTGCAGGAAGAAATGTAGCTGCCATGACACTGAAGTGCCACTTGCGCTTTCGACAGGTCGTACACATCCTGACAGGGTCAACGACGACGACGATCCACAGAAAACTGTGTGAAACATGTGGCGCATCCGTCCTGAATGCCAGACTTCTCACCGACCTTGGCGGCGATGGGCGTGGGCTGGATCTCTGTCAGGTCGGCGCCAAGCTCCTTGTAGATGACAGCCAAGTCTTGCTTCAAGCGCTCGTAGTAGTCCTGGTTGCAGCCAGGATCAGGCGCTCCGCCAGCTGCTTCGGCCTCAGGAAGGTCTGACGGTGCAGCTTTAGCCTTGGCCTTGTTCTTCGCTCCCGCCTTCGACTGCTTTACCAAGCTCTGGTCATGCTTGGCTTGCTGCACAAGACGCGTCAGACGCTTCCGTTCATCTTCTCGCAGACGACTCTTTTCTTCCAGGCTCACATCTGCAGACAAACTGGCCTCCCAAGTACGAAGGTCATCCTCCACAGTGGCCTGTTCGGCCTTGTTCAGCCTCCAAGCCGAAGGATGCTTGGTAGGAGCCATGTCGGGTCACAGGGCAAGAGCTCAGTGGCTGCAAACATGCGCTAATTTGAGAAAATGAAACGGTTTACCAGAGCCAACTATGAGAACCAAAAATGCATTGTTTGTCAATGTGGATAAGTCCCTGATGCAGCCAGCAACTTTTTGACACAAGCCGTTTCAGATGAGAGGCGCTAGCTTCTGCGACGGCCCCCTCGACTGGCAGCTTCAAAAAGCCGATCAGACAAGTCAGCCAGGTCGGCAGTTCGACACTGTTTCCACGGATCTTGGCGTTCCAAGTTGGAGGGCCACAAGGACCCAGCTTGTAGCGCAGCTGGCAAAAGTCGCATCAAGACATTGATGGACATGCTGTCACCTAGGGCCCCCATAACTTGCTTCTCAGCTGCCTCTGGCGTGGAAAAGCTTGTTTTTCGTTGCGCTGCTGCCATCATTTTCTCAAAGATGGCAGCAGGTATACCTTGAAAACGGGCACATTCGACACCGTCCAGTCTGCGAAGCTGCTTGGGCAAATAGTAACCTTTCTGTAGGCAACGCGTCCTGATGAGGCAGGGGCACAGGTTGTTCATTTTGCTTTGCCACTTGGCACTTGCACCGATGTCCAATACTGTGTCTTCTTTCCAGATGTTTGGCCCATGCTTTTCTTCATAGAAAGGCAAAGGTGCTTTCTCGCTGCCCAGTCGATCAGTATCCAAAAACGACTTGAGGGTGGGGCATGCAATGGACTTTGGGAATCGGAAATGAAACTGCTGCTTCTTGGCGGTCTGGAGGAAGGCCACAAAATAGCATCGACATCGACTCTGAGGAACACCATGTTCTTTTGTCGAGAGCTTCTTCATGTAGACAATGTAACTCAAGGCCGCAAAAAATTTCCTCATGGCTTTGTGCGTTTTCGCGTGCTTCTTGTCCAAAAAACCTTGAACTTGTTCAAGGATCACGACACGGGGCTTCCAGTAGGCAATGTACTTGAGCCCTTCAAAAAGAAGAAGGCCTCTTCGTAGCCCATCACGCGCGCCAAGCTTCTTGCCGCAGCTACTGTATGCTGGACAAGGAAACCCTGCAATGTACAAATCGCTAGGGATTGTGTCCTCCAAGCGTCGATCGAAAATGTCATGCTGCAGCCGCTCCTTTTGGGTTGACAAATTCAAAGCTTTGTGGACGGCTTGCAGAAGGCAACGCTTCATGGGATCTTTTTCTGTTCCTCCCACAAACTCCATGTGCTTGTCCTCGAATCCGAGTAGAGCTAAAGCTATCGTTTCGGAGCCGATGCCCACGCAGTCAGCAAAAACTCGAAGTTTTCCTTTTGGCATGGGCGCAGGTTTCCGCCTCTTCTTGTGGTCCCGAACGAAATCACGCAGGGCAGCTATGCGCTCTTCAACCTCCATCTGCGGCAATCCGCGAGCCTTCAGTGCAACGCCTCGCGCGAAGCTCATTTTCCTCTTTGGCGCCATGGCCAGGAAGGAGGGGCGAAAGGTTGCAAGAAGATTCGGAAGCAGGTTATGTTGTGTGTTTGCAAACACTTGCAGTTTCATATCGTGGTTGTTGATTAATAAGTAGTAACTAAGGACACTCAGTCCGAAGGGAAGAGCTGTATATGGCTATCTTAGAAGAAACTTAAACTCTAACCGAGCAATGCTTGAAACACAAAATCACGAACTCAATTTGACAAAGGGGCAGATTTACGCAAGGGAAATTGTGGTTTCGTCGTCGTAAGGGGGGTAGCAAATCGCTACTGTCCTTACCCACAGCCAGACCGGCCCGGAGTGGGGTAAGGATAGTAGCAAAACGCCTAAGGATGCTAACTTTTTGATTTGCTACTAGTCTTACGCATTTTGCTACTGTCCGTACGCAAGGCCAGACCGGCCCGGGTTCGGGTAGTGATAGTAGCGATTTGCTACCCCCCTTACGCAATTCCAGACCGGCCCGGGTCCGCGTAAGAATTGACGCGCGCTCCGTCCTTACGCATCGCCAGACCGGCCCGGGTCCGCGTAAGAAGTTGCACGGTTGCGACATCATGAACATGAAGCCATTGTAAAATTTTTTCTCCCCTTGCATCGCTGAACTCTGCGCTTTTGGTCACATCCCTTGTAGATGTGCCAGCCACTAACCCCGAAGTTTTGCTACGAAATAGGATTTCTCCTTCACTTGGCACTTTTCAGTCAAGTACTGCGCAAAAGTGTCTTTTCCAAACGTGCGCAAAGACTTTGCTATCAATTTCTTTGCTTGAGGATCTCGCTCGGCCAGGAGTGTAATGGATCTCTGTTTATCCAGGCTGGTCGCCTTCAACTTGCGCCACCCACCTCTTTCCAGAGCCCATGCCAAGACTTTGAGAAACGCAGGATGTAGATCGCGAAAAGCTTCGGAGCAGTGCACCCCCACATGCATTTGACCAAGCCTGCGGAACTCTTCAAATTGGTATTCCAACTTGACACCTCCTTTGCCTTCAAGAACTGATTTCGACAGCACACAGCCGCCCTGCGCGATGGCCAGCAAATACACTTTGTCCGACACGATGTCGGAGGAAGAAAGAAACACTGTTGCGATACGAGGATCCTCAGATTTCAATCTTTTCTTCTGACTGTCCTGATTGCGCGAAGTTAACTATTTTCTCCATTTACATGCAGCCAAGCAACTTTGACCAACTGCAGGGGATGTAATTATAAGAGCTCGGTAGGGACTGGGCAAGAAGACCACGTTTTCCGAGCTCCCAATGACTTCCAATTCCAATCGCGCGGTGCGCAAACGCGATGGCAATCTTGTTGTCGGGCCGCTAAAGCGGCGATGCGTTTTGCGTCTTGCTGAGCATGCTTTTTCTTTTGGGCAGCAGCCTGGGTAAATGGTTCACGACCTTCGTCATCTGACAACAAACGCCCTTCCCGTGAAGCAGCCACGGCACGATCCAAGCGCCTCTTCTTTGGCATGGCTAACTCTTTTGTAGCTTTGGTCGACATCGGCCGACGGTCGTCCGAGGCAGCCGACCTTGTTGAGGATGCAGGAAGAGCGCGGATGGCTTCGGTAACAGCTTTGCGTTTCTTGCGCAAAAAAGTAGCTTCAGAACCCGCTTGTTTCTTTCTAGGCACTCCAGCATCCATGCGCTTCCTTTTCAGTTTTCCTGTATGCTTTTTCACCGCCGAAGCAAATAATCGGCGAGCGCCCCGCAAGATGTCTTGCTCAGACTTTTCCACCATGGTCAGCACACTCACGCGTCGCCGCTCTGTATCTGCGGCTCTAGGACCAAATCGCCCAGAATGAAAGCAACGGTCAGCTTTGCTGAAGCTTTGTTCCACTCCCGACCTGGAAAGGCAGAAGGGCAAATGTTTTTGAAAAGAGACGACGTAGTAATTATGTATTATGATTATAGCTATATTATTACAGCCAAGACACGAGGAAGGAGTCCAGCAGGTATATGCCTGAAGCGCTTTCAGCAGGTTATCTAACTTGTACTTTTTCTGCAAGGCAGCAGACTTTAGCGTGTGGGCGAAGGCCGCCTTCCAAGCTTCTCTGTTGTCTATTTGCGACGAAAGCTTTTGAGCCAAAGCTATTGGGCGGAGCGTCTCCCACTCGTGTTTCAAAAGTGCAGGGTCCAAGTCCAAGGCGAGCGCGATCCGACGCAAGCACTGAGAAGTCTGTTGGGTTGTTGTCGCTTCACTTGACAACATATTGTCGCCGAGATTGAAAACCATCATTGAGTTGAAGACCTCGAAGTCAGGAAACTCTGCACGCACCGTAGCTTCGCACAGCTTGAGCCACTTAATAGATCGAAATACTTATGTTGACTTGAGTGAACACTAGGGAACTTATGTTAACTTATGTTGGATAGACTTCAAGGTATTCCCATAAGTTCAGATAAGTTCCACGCACGTTGAAAAAGTATGTTTTCCAGAAATTGGACGCTGCAGGCAGGGGCCGCCTTTTTTACACTTTTCGACTCGACTGCATGGTCCCACAGTCAAAGTAAGATACGAATTCGCTCCGCCGTCTCGGCGTTTGTTTTTGCTGGCAGGAACAGCCACCAAGAAGGCTTGTAGCAATCATCCTCCACTGAGAAGCGGCAAAAGGAGTGTGTATTTGTTCTAGACCATTCTGAGCCCCATGGCATCCGAGCAAGCGGTCGCAGCAGTTCCACGCGTGCCACGAGTCCACACTGGTCTCCATGGTACAGTGCCCGCACAAGGCACGCTTGACCGCCAGCACTCAACAGTATATCGGCGACACTGAAGGTGTGTTGGCGGAGATGCATCGTGGAGACTTGCTGCGCCGATTTGTCTCGCAGGACTGTCTGTGTTTCGAGATCGGCCTCAGATTGGGGGCCTGCGGCTCCCCACACACCCAACGCGGAGGCTCGCTTGGAGCCTTCCACGGTGTCTTGCAGCAGTCGGGGCAGGAGCCATGACTGGAGGTGGTCCGAGTTGCACAGCTTCGGGCGCTGTCTCGTGAGTAAACCACGAGACTTAACAGCCTGATGCTTTTTCTCCAAGATTTCTGTCGTGAGGAGCCTGCCCAATTTAAGCGCGCACTCGCCCAGATGCAGTCTGTGATGGTGCTTTGGACGCATGTGCGTCTCCCCGTACGTGCGGCGAAATGCCACTTGGTGAAGCTCTTGTGCTCTCTCCAACGCTTCCACCTCCTCGCGCGCAGCAAGGGGGCGCCACCTTTGCTCTAAGCGGCGGATCTCTGTGACGCAATCCAACAGCAGATACAAGCACCGACGCTCTTCCGGCGCAAGGCCTCTCACGCCGAGTAACTCCCACGCGTAGTACGCCAGCAAAGGCAGCAGCGACTTGGTCTGACAGGCGTCACCCCGATAGTAATCTCCGTCAAAGTAGCAGGCTCGAAACAATGCGGCCGATCTTGTCGACCCAGCTCGTGGACCTCTCTGCCATCCATGAGAGGAGGCAAAGGTCCGGAGATCCTCATGTGTCCTTGAGGTTTGCGTGGTGAGCGTCTGCAGAAAGAGCATAATTTCAAATTGAACAATTCCGCCGCTGCAAAAGTAGGCATGCATGGCATCATTGCATGCTCTAGAGGGCGGCATGACTTCACGCCACTGCGCGGAGCACATGAGACCCCTCTCTTCGAGACGCAAACCATAGCAGATCTCTTTCTCTTTCAGTGCGGCCTTGGTGTGAGGGCGCCGCATATCTTCTATGCTGTCAAAGTATTCCTGGTCTCGAATACTTTGCATGTCCTTTTTGCACGCAGCAAAACATATGTCTACAAATCCTGGGACGCTCAGTCCTTTCTTAACAACATTGCTACAAAATAGGCACGGCTTAATGCCTGCCGAACCTTTGGCCGTGTACACCATGCGTTGCGCGTCGTGGTCCGCAATGAAGAAAGTCTCGGGTGCCATGCGTACGTCGAACCACCGGTCCTGCAGCAAGAGCGTAAACTCACGTGGAGTGTGCATATGTTCTAGCAGCAATATGAGCACTTGGCTCAGGCCAGCCTCTATGCTGGCGACGACATCGTGTTGGATGACGGCAGCTGGCAACCATGCAAATTCATTGTGCCAGCAGTGCTGCATTTCCACGAAGGATATGTAGAAGATAGATACTTTCAGAATGGCGTGTGCTGACAGCACGTTCCCTGCGTGCACTTCGTCCAAGTAGAGCACAGGGCGAAGAACTGAACTCGTACGCAACGCCCGCAACATCTCAACGTGCCAGGCGTTAGACTCCTTCACCATTTTCTGGAGGGCTCTGTGCACCTT